TTGAATCGGTTGCCAGCAAATCGCAGGGCACACGGAGACGAACAACCATCCACGCTCACATTCACACCTAGGGACAATTCAGTGTTCAATCAGCCTACCATGCATGTTTTTGGAATGTGGGAGGAAACCGGAGCACCCGGAGAAAACCCACGCAGGCCCGGGGAGAACATGCAAACTCCACACAGGGAGGCCGGAGCTGGAATTGAACCCGGTACCTCTGCACTGTGAAGTCGACGTGCTAACCCCTGGACTACCGGGCCGCCCACTGAGTGGTTTCATTGATTAATTATAGAATAATAACAACAATAAAAATAAAAATAAATTTTGTTGGTTCCTTCTTGTTGTTTTCTTTTTACAAACCCCTAATCTTCTTCATAAACCGCTGATAAAAATGTAAGGTAAATTTTCTTGGAACAACAAGTGGGGAAATGGGAGAAAAACCAGGAAGTATGAAAAATATTGTATTTAAAAAAAAAAAAAACAAACAAACAAAAAAACAAATCCACAAATATTTGAAACCACGTGTCCTGGATTGCAAATATGCAGGATTTGACTGTAGTTTTAAGTTGTAACACACGTCTTACTTGCGCTTAAACCGGGTCTTATACTGCCTTATACAACAATGTGAGTAGGCCTAATATTTTTTGTGGATTTGGAATAATATACAGGGCAAACCGCCTGAATGTACCTAAACAATTTTACAATTCTCAATGGATTGATTTTTTTATGATTTTTTTGTTTTAACAAAATGAGCTCTTCCATTCATGTTGGTTTCTTGTTTCTTGTTGTGTTGAAACTGTTCAATAGTGCTCATGACAAATCAGCCCTCAAGACAACTTTTTTTTAACTTGTTGCCCTTGATTTTTACACACCTTTGTATGATTCATCCGCCCATCAAAATCCATTCATTCTCAACACCGCTTATCCTGTACAGGGTCTTGGGGGGTGCTAGAGCCTCACCCAGCTGACTTCAGTCGATTACACCCTAAACTGGCCGCCAGCAGGGCTCATGTGGAGACGAACAACCATTCACACCCACCTCTACACCATCACCAAGTGTGACCCGATTCCACGCTGCTCGCACACAAGTCAGACGAGTGTATCATCAGTGATGTTTTTGTGATTGATTACAGGATTAATTATTATTTAGTTTATGTAACGTCAGCACATATTTGTGGGTGAGAAATATGTCATCCCATGATGCCTCACCTAGGATGCCAGCTTGCAGGTCTTCAGTCTCCATCACTTCGCTCACACCCTCTGAGGTCAAAGCTCGGATTCTGTAACAATATTTGCGTCCACGGTCCACATCTGTGTCGCGGTAGAACGGCACACCCGGAATCTCCCCTAGTTTCTTCCAAGTGTTTCTGCCAATCTGTTGTCGTTCCATGATGTAATTCATCACAGGCGAGCCGCCGTCATCCTTTGGAGGCCTCCACTTAAATTCAATGCACGTAGCTGAACTAAGTGTTATCTCTGCGGGACCCAATGGGGTAGTGGGTTTGTCTGAATACAAATAAAGAGGCAAGGTCTTTGAAGTGTCGTTTCAACATGTCAGACTACATAGAAAAATCGAACTCTGTGTGTAATTCGTTTGACTGAATCATTGGCTCACCAAGCACAATGAGCTGTGTTATCGCCTCAGCGGTGCCATGCTCATTTTTGAGCCTGATCTTGATCTCTCCTGAGTCCCTCCTCTGGCACCTGCTCAGCAGCAGGCGGCTGTGACTGGCCGATTTATCTATCCTGGTGCTGCTGGCATCATCATGGAGCTCCTCTCCTTCTCTGTACCACTTGATCTTAATGGGCTCGAAGCCAAGAAAATTGAGTTTAAAGACTGCATTGTGCCCTACTTTAATTCTTAAGGGCTCTGTGAATGCATTGAGGTCTTCTGGCTCAAATCTCGGTGGATCTGAACAGGGAAAATATGAACTCGGGTCAGTGTTGCGGCATTGTTATCAAACTTGATTGTTGTCATGATGAGTTTTCAAACCTTTGACGTTGACCACCGCCTCTGTCTTGCGATTGTCAGCCTCAAAACGGTATTTCCCAGAGTGCTCCTCCTGGCAGTTCATTATCAGCAACTTATGAATTGCACCCTCTTTAGATATTATAAAAGTGTCACCAGTGATGATCTGAAAGGAAAGGTGACATTCAAACAAAGTAAAAAAAAATAATCATGACAATGCTTAACATCAACCATTTGACATCGTGCTGGACCTTTTCACCATCCCGGAACCAGACTCCCTCGCAGTCTTCCTTGCTGAGTTTACAAGTTAGCTCTGCATTTTCACAGATGATGGCGTTGATGTCCGACAATCCCCAGATGAACTGAACCCCTGGATCTAATACGTGTAAAAAAAAAAAAAAAAAAAAAAAAAAAAAATCTATTTACAGAAGGCAACTAGGACATAGCATAAAAAAGTGCCGAAAAAAAGTGTAGTCCTTGTACAAACGATGAACAGGCGCTGTTGCGCATGACAGTCCTAAATAATGACACAAAAGACTATCTGAAAGAGCGCTGACATACCATCAAGAAAATGCAATTCATCATTATGTATTTTTGTTGATATGACATACAAAAGGGGTGAACAGCTCATTTGAATATTTACCAATGACTGCATCTTCTATCAGTGGGCCAATTCTTTTACGCCTCGGTTGTGTGGCAAGGCCAATCAATTCTTCAGCCTCGCTGTCTTCATTAAAAAAGCTTTCATCTATAGAGACAAAAAAACACAATCGACTTTGTGCTACTCAAGGATTAAACTAAAGGTATAATCTAGCCGCAAATAGAAAATTAAACACCGTAATTAGCAAGCGTGCACTGAAGCCAAATGAGTTTGTGTGTTAACATTGCTTCAGAAGCGTGAGGGTAACTATCTTCAAGTGTGTCAACGTCTCAGGGTTTGACAATATTACTGTCGAAACACGACACTCACTAAAAAGCGAGGGTAAAACAATGCTTGTCAACTTGAGTCATCAGCATTTGTGCGCCCAAACTCACATTTTTTCTTCTTCGGTGTGAGCTTCGTATTGCTTTCATTTAACTCCTCATCACACGTGTCCCTGGACTCTGCACAGATAAAAACACAACATAATCACGAAGGTAATGATTGCACCGAAACCACTGCCATCAATGAGGATACTAACAGTGGTCATATTTTCTGTACAAGTCATTGTCAAGGTGTGGTGTTAGAATCAGTGGTGGTACTTGGGCTGTTGCATTTAACTTTTTAGTGCAAATTTCCGATATTTAATGCTTAATTTAACTCTATTTAGGAGGAGTGCGAATGTACAAACTGTGCGTAAAGTCACAGTGACTTGCAATAACAGTATTTTCATGAGCATTTAAAGCTGCGACGCTGTTGTTCATGATAGTTGCACTTGAAGGTTTCTGTGTTTTTTTTCAGGTAGTACTCGGTGTAAAAGATTTCCAAAGCACTGTTCTGTACGAAAGATTACCTTGTACTGTATTCTCCGTTTCTTCTTCCAGCTTGTTTCTTCCATCACCATCCTTGGTCTCCACTGATTTATCTCTTCCAAAGCCATCTGTGCAGCATTGTATTTTATTGTTGTTCATGATAGTTGCACTTGAAGCGCTCTGTATTTTTTTTCAGGTCGTACTCGGTGTAAAAGATTTCCAAACCACTGTTCTGTACGAAAGATTACCTTGTACTGCATGCTCCATTTCTTCTTCCAGCTTGTTTCTTCCATCACCATCCTTGGTCTCCTCCGGTTTATCTCTTCCAAAGCCATCTGTGCAGCAACAGCTTATTAGCGTCATGGCAATGACTGCGATGATGCCCTGATATTGCTTCGTAATGCCAACTCATTGTCCCAGTTGCAATATGCAACGTGACAAGTGGAGTTTGTTGCTACCTCTCCAAAAGCAAGTTAAAACTCTCTCTTGCAAAGCGGAGGCCATATATCAACAACACCCAGAAACCCGGCTAGCTTCTATGGACCCAAACTCTTCCAAGAGACGCTCAGTTAATTGCTAGAAACTTTATCAATTTAATTTATCATGAATTACAAGATTTTTGTTTGCTACAATCTTGGCGCTTTTATCATTTAACTGCCTGTTGGGCGAAGGTTTAACTTTGAACACAGTACATATCGGCACAGTTTTGTCAAAGTAAAACAAAGACTCACAGACAATGAATAGGATAAAATATACTTAATCCGATTGATTGAACGTGGTAACAAGGTAAAGAATTTTACTGATCGGTTAATGCATTGATGTTTGTGATTGGATTTTATTTTAATTACGGTAAATCACACCTTACCTGCATGGAAATTATGGCAAAATGTGAAGATGTATGACTGATGGTGTTATATTTGTTTTATTTTCTAGCTCTTATGGTGTAAGATGTTTGGGCTTGTGTCAGGAAGGGATTGCAAGAAAAATTCAGACAGCACAAACGCGTAGCTGCATTCAGTGTTCGGTTCAGTTTTTTTGTGCTTTCTGGGAAAAAAAAATGGAAAAGCAAAAATGTGTTCCGCCATTCTTTCAGGAGGAAGCAACATAGTGCATTTGTTCTTTTGTGTCAACTCAAAAATTCTACTTACCATCTATCATCTGCTGCGGAGATGGCGAGAGGCCATTGAGCATTGCTTTGTTGCAATTATTGTTTGAATCATGCATGTCACTCCCACTGTATTTGACGGGTTCAGTCAGGGAAATGATTTGTCCCTCTTTTCTTGAAGTCGATAATGTCTTCTGCTCTGTCAACTCCCCTGTGTCATGTTTTGCTTTGATGGCTTCCAAAATCTTCTCCATTTCTTCTTGGTTTTTGATTTGCTGCTGTTTGACCACTTCCTCGAGGTCTATGCCCGCTCCTCCGGTTTTCTTCTTGCCAGCTGCTTCAAGGTCAGCTTGAGGCAAAATTATCAAGATGCACACATCAAGAAGAAAGATTATCACGAGTCACTGAAATTCTGACAGCACATTTGTAGTCCAAGTAGTTACCTTCTACATCTAATGCTGCATTGCTTGAGGCACTTCCAGCCACAGCTGAATAGACACCTTTGTCTTGGTCCGAGCAGTCTGTGATCAGCAACCTGTGGATCATTTGGTGCTCCGACACACTGATTTGATATTTTTCACTGTCTTCCAGCACAGTGCCTTTGCTCATCCAGGTGATTTTAGGCAACGGTTGGGTCAGGACGCATTCAAACAGCGCAGTGTCTTTTTCTTCTGTTATTGCCTCTTGGAGTTTGACTGCAAAGTCTAGCTGGGGAACTGAAAATATACAGCAGAATATTAGGAGGCAGTGCAACAAAGCTACAAGGAACACGGTACTCAGGAAAGTACACCTCCAGTATGGGCAACACACAAATCAGGTTAGGGCTTATGTTGCAGGAGTATAAGGCCCATCTCCATTCCTCGACATGTCCTTAAACATCAAGTCAGCAACTTGTTTTTGTTTCCCATGATGAATATAGTTGACTGTCTCACAAACCCATTAAATGATGTTTGCCATTTGATTTTTACAATTACAGTATGTGAAGATTACAAACTCAGTCCTTTGGATGAGAAACGCCAACGCACACTGTTGATCATATTCTGGTTTGGATTAGAGGTGCGACAATTAATTGACTAATCATCAAGTAATCAATTTTTACATTCGTTGAGAACTATTCGGAAAATCAATGAATCATTGAGAGACCTTGTTTAACTTAAAACATGTGCGACTAGCCATTTTCGGGGGTGCTCAAACACCACTAAATTGAATCTCAGCCCCCTAAAATTGAAGCGATTGTTTGGTTGATATTTTTTTAATATATGTCCTTTTTAAGCTACAGAAGTCGCTTCGCAAAGAATACCGTTGTTAAAATGCTGGTGTCAGAAATTGTAGCACTGTTCTCTGACTACAAATGAGAAGCTAGCCGTTATGCCCTGTGCGTGCCTTCATGTTAAAGTCAAAATGATTGAAAGCATGTGACCAAAAAGTGGTCAGGCTTCTATTTCATCAATGTCGTACTAAGATTGCGTTAAGATGTCCAATTTAACTTGTCTGGCCGGGAGCTCACTCAGAATCTCTAAACTTCCAACCCGAGGATTCTCCACTGACTCAAAGCCATCGAAGTACCGGTACTCAGAATGTCAGTAAATACGTTTCTCCCATTGTGTTTAATCACAGCAAGACATCGGTAAACAACTGATTTTTCTTTGGAAAACAATGCTCAGCAACTTTCTTATGAAATGAATCCTCATCAGTTGAATGTTTGTGCATTTTCTGCCCTGGCACTAAAATCTATCTGTCCTGTCAATGTCAGTACAGGCGACAGTCATGAGTTACAGCACACAGTTATGTGCAAACAGCCTTTGACTAAAGATGGAAACTTGAAAATCACTGTTTTGATTTTAGTAAAACACCTCCTTGTTACAACGTCAGTAAACACACAGACTTGTTTTGACCATATAACAGTATGAACTGAAATGTATCGCTGTTAGCATACGTGTGAAGTTTTCAGCATCCTTTGCACATCTGCCACCTATTAGTCCGTTTTTCCTCACCAAATCTTCATCAGGAGGACTCGTTCCATGCTGTTTGAGGCAAGCATAAATCACAAACTCAAATAAATGCTACGAGTACCATGAACTCTATGTAGTCATCACAGTATTGTTGCAGAAAGAATGTTGCCATCACCGGTGAATCCCAAAGGAATTACAGGTCAGCTTGTATGCAATCCGGCTGATTTCATACCTGATATTTCAACATTTGCTGCCTCTTCTCCTCCGTTTTCATGTGCATCAAATGCATGTCTTTTGTCCCTAGTGTCTCATAGTCCCTCTGTAACGTGTCCCGGTATCTCTCGTTTCTTTCTTTGACTTTCTCTGTCTGGTTTTCCTCGAAAATACTGTAAGTCATGGAGATCTAATTTTGTACCACTGACGCTTTATTGCAAGAAAAGGCTCCACATAGGATTCATGATGTGGAAGAAAAGTTCCAGGACTGGCGTCGGAAAAGATGTCTGACACACTCAAGCTTAATGCCACATTTGCTTCATTCGGTGCATGACAAGTGGGCAGAGTTGTGGCAGGACAATGCGCGGGCGCTTTGTACGATTTCGAAGGAGAACATGAAGGCATAGCAGAGAAGGCCGGAAAAAAGTTTGTGAGACGAAGGCTAAAACTTATTTGTGAATACAATAGTTTGCAAGTTGGATTTGAAATACGTCAGTTGTGATGCCAATCCTGGAACTTTTCTGACACACCATTCATGCAATCTTACTTTGTGTTTGTCTTTCTCAGCAATTTTCTGAAATCTGATGGATCGGTTACTACTACAAGCAAAAAATAAATAAATAAATAAATAAAGAAACATTTTTAGACAGGTATATTGTTTTCTGTAGATAAACAGAGGGAATTAGAAAGAATGCAAACACCAAAACACGTACCAGATGCCAAGAACGTTCTACATATATGTAACTTACCGTCTGTCAAATTTAGTGCTACAGAGCAAATAGCTTTTCCGTATTCATTCACTGCAATGCATTTGTATGTGTCTGCATCTGCACACGTTACTGCACGAATCTAGAGGAAGACATCAAATGTTACAAGGCAATGAAAACAGAAGCACATGTTGGCGGTTTTATTTTTAATTCTAGGATTTATTCACCTCCAATAAGTACTCCCCTGTTGAGTCATCGTATTTCATCTGATATTTCTCCTTGTCTAAAATGCTGCCTCTTACTCTCTTCCATGTCACTTCAGGTTTGGGCTCTCCTATCACCAAAGCCTTGAAAACAGCCGATTTCCCTAAAGGACATGTCGGAATGTGGAGCTTTGGTTTTCTTTTGTCTTGCTAACAAGCGCTAGCTGCAGTTAATCATTGGACAGCAAGTGTGAAACACTACGTTGCTTGAAACATATAGAAACTCACCTTCTTGGACATTGACTGGGTTTAGTTTACATTTGAAATCTGGGACACTTTTCCCCTCTGGTATGCTCACTATATTCTGTGTGATGACCACCCCGGGAATTTTAGATCTTCTCCGGATTGCAGCTGGACAAAGACAGCAGTAAATGAATAGGTGAATCTAAAAACATAGGCATGCAGATTATCTTCTGAGTGAGCCACATGGCAGAAATGTCCAAACAAGTGGGTGCTCGCCAGGGTATTTAACCCTTTCATGCACCCTGTAACCCGATAACATGATCAGCTGTCCACTGTAGTGACCGCTGTCCCTGAAAGGGTTAATTGGTGAATTTGCATCAAAACTCCATAGCAGTCCATTTATAGTGCATGTTTATCAGCTAAATGCTAAATTATTTAACGTGAGTTTACTGTTGGTTTCAATTTCATTGTTGACTGGGTGTGTAGACGTTCAAAGTTGTCCCAAGATTAAATCAGCAGTGCCGACTGGAGGCACTCTCGATTTAGTTGGTAGAACTTATGGCCAAATGCTTGAAAGGAAAGCATGTGTGTCAAACTGAACCTTAGGTGGATTAAAATATTGGTGTAAACCAATAAATACATTTAAATAATTTCAAACAATACATTTGGTTTCTTTTTTTTTTTTAAACCCGGATTTCTCAGACAGACACTGAATCAACTGCAATTTCCTGCATTGATAGGAAATGGTGTGTTGAATTGACTCAATTTTTATTTATCAGTTGGCTACATGCAATATAGCATCATCTGGATTTAGATACATTTTTAAGTGGGTGTAAAGTCTACTTAAAAAAATGTGGATCCAGATGATTTTATTTTGCGCAACCACTTGACACATTCAAACTGACAAAATTCAACACACGGTTTTTCAGTGCAGTAATCACGAGGCTCTCGAAATCGATCATTCAGGAGTAGAAGATCAATGATCCACATAAATTCAACAGTCGACGATTATGTCACAATGACAAAAGCTCAAGAGAACTGAAGAAGTTGAAACGTGGACTAAATTCAGTTTCTTAAATTGTTCAGAAAGGATCACAGACATAGAAATCATAATTGTAATGTATTATTCATCGTCAGATATGTGATTATGGTCTTCGAGAACACACTGTTCTCATACAGTATTAGAGCATGTTGTCGTACCTGATTTGCTGCCGGCTTTCTCGTTGAAATGTTGAATATACTGGTGAACGAGGGAGAAACCTACGGGATATAATTCACATCGTAAAATATCTATCAAAACATGACAATAGTGTAATAAACAGTACACCTGTAAAACTGAAGTAAGTGAAATGAAACACTTTGTGTCTTCATATTTACAGAAATGTAAAAAAAAGAAAGAAAAAAAAAGGGATTTCTTGCATGTTTGAGCAGTTCCTGGAAAGAAACTCCAGGGAGTAAACCAGTGACAGTAAAATACACGGTGAGCAGAGTGGATGTCAGTCAGGCATAACATAGAAAAGCTCAGAGGGGCCTCAACAAATGGAGGCACTGGGAGCCTCACAGCAAAGCGGGGCAGGCAGGCACCCTTAACCTTGGGATGTTTTCTTCTCATGGTCAGTTTATTGTTAAAGCCTCAGAGTGAAGACTCCACTCAGCAGGCACAAGCTGGCTAAAAAGCCGGCCAGCTCACGCAGCGCTCACTTGAATTGGAGCACAGATGCTGCACTCAATGTCATGTGGGTGGCGAGGGTGTTATTCAGGCTTTGAGTTCAGTTCCTTTTTAGGCTACAGATTCACAGATACGTTTTCCTACTTCTGAGCTAATCCTATTACATAAATGAGGTATCTTCCTGTTTCACCACCAAGACATCAGCTCTTATGTTCCATAAATTCCCTCACATTTCAAATGTCAGTCATGTTTATGATTCTAACAACCAAGGATTAAGGTTGGTCAAAGTCTTTATCGAAGCACTGTGACCAATTGTCCAAATGCAATTTCAACACAATGTTTGAAAGTTTCCAAACATGAATTGAACACTGCTCCTTGAGATGAGGTGTACATCACTATGTTGGTTGCTTAAATGAGAATTAAAGTCAATAAACAAAATGAACAACACATGTGGTGGTACCGCTGCTTTCATCAGCAACATGCACATATCATCACAGACACTGGGCCATTGTTGCCCAGCAGAAATGAAGAACAATTACAGAAAACAATTAAGCGGAGGAGAAGAGTTTCACTACTTACAGACTTTGCGTCCTGAGCCCTTTGAACGCTTCCACATTTTGCTAAGATTGGTCCAAAGCTGAAAAAAATGATCACAAAAGAATTTTCGTACTCAATCAAGCAGTCATACTGTGAGCTCACCATTCAAAACAATTTTTACTCTATTCAATATTTTTAAAAGAGCGATCTATTTTTAAATTTGTGCAGTCCAAACTGACAGTTTAAAATGCATTATTTTAACCAGTGGAAGCTCGTCAATAGAGGGTGTTCGGGCGCCGCCCTCCGGCACAGCCGCGCTCGGGCGCCGCCCTCCGGCATTAAAAAGAAAAATTATGCTAAAATACTTCCAAATACATGTATATGTACATCTGTTTTTCAATGAGCAGGATGAACAGTATGTGAGTGTTGATGAGTAATATGATTTATTTAATTCTTATTGTCAAACTATGAGCTACCGTATTTTCCACACTATAAGGCGCACCAAAAAGCATTTAATTTCTCAAAAGCCGACAGTGCGCCTTATAATCCCATGCGCCTTATACAGATATACGGATCGATATTATGATTTCTTGGATGTAGTATTTTAAATGTTTTGTAAAGCGCTTGTTATAGCTGCAACAGTTGTGAAAGCTCTATATAAATAAAAGTGTGTTGTATTGTATTCCCTTTAGCACACCTCCATCTAGTGCAGTGTTTTTCAAACTCTTTTGAGCCAAGGCACACTTCTTTCATTGAAAAAAATCTCGCAGCACACCACTAGCTGAAAATGTGACACCCCCCACCCCCGCTTATTTTAACAATTAACGTGTTATATTGTGATTATAACCGTTTTTAACATTGGAGAATGACGTTATAACAGCTTGAATTGGAATGAAATGAACACAAAGAAAACTTTCATTATCAACTTATCAACTTTCATATTTTATTTATTTATTTTTTATCTTTCATATTTATTGTTTCACCGTCGTCCTGCATTCATGCGTCACAAATTCGCCTGTCTCTCGTCGAAACACAAGGGAATTGGCTAGCTGTTGCTCCCTCCTAGCGGTACGAGAGGGTACTACATGATTACTTTCTGGGCGAAAGATCGCACAGGCATTTCCCCCCCCAAGACAGTTTTAAAATAGGCCATTCATTGAAGGTGCGCCTTATACTTATCGTGCGAAAAATATGGTACTGCCGGTTTGGGCACACAAAACATTGCCGAAAGACTGGTTAAAAGTGTGACATGTGCAGTCGGTCCTTGTGCAAAGCACATGTATCGGGCAGTAAATTCCACCACCCACAGCCAATAGTGTTGAAACATAGTTACCGTGAAAAATAATGTCATTTTCTGTCTGACTCCTCTTCTACTCCTTTCGGCACATCCCTATTCAGGGGTCGCCACAGCGAGTCAGTAATTTCCATCCGCCCCTGTAAACCGTCCTACCAACTCGCATGGTCGTCTTGGCAAAAGTTTTCCGCCGGATGCCATTCCTGACGCAACCCTCCCCATTTCTCCGGGCTTGGGACCGGCACTGGGGAACAGTGCACCCCCAGGGGAGGGCACTGCCCCCCAGCGGCTGGGTTATTTTCTGTCTGACTCCAATTGATCTAAATGGTTCCTGTAGTTTGAATATGTATCTGTATATGTATATCTATATGTACAGTATGTGGTCCAGTGGTTGGCAAGTCAACCTCATTGTGCAGAGGTACTGGATTCAATTCCATCTCCGGCCTCCCTGTGTGGAGTTTGCATGTTCTCCCCGTGCTTGCGTGGGTTTTCTCCGGGTCCTCCGGTTACCTCCCACATTCCAAAAACATGCATGGGAGACTGATTGAACACTCAAAATTGCCCCGAGATTAGAGTGTGAGCGCGGATGGTTGTTTGTCTCTGTGTGCCCTGCAATTGACTGGAAACCGGTTCAGGGTGTCCCCCACCAACTGCTCGAAGATGGCTGGGATAGGCTCCAGCACCCCCTGCGACCCTTGTGAGAATAAGCGGATCAGAAAATGGATGGATGGATGGTTCCTGTATTCAATGGGAACTTGTCCGATTCAATATGGCTGCCAATAATTTTGTTTTTTTTAACTATTGAAAGGCCTTTCCTAATTTGAATGTCATGTAGAAATTTAGTTAAAACTCAACTCGCAGTTATTTATAGTGCAATACTGTAAGAAAGTGCGATACATGAACGATGAAAGATAATAACTAATAAAAATGTCATCCTCTCATTAAAATATGCAATAGCACCCTTGACATAGAGCACACAGGTAGTTTTATCTCTCTCTCTCTCTCCCTATATATATATATATGTGTGTATATATATATATATATGTGTGTATATATATATATAGTGTGTGTGTGTGTGTGTGTGTGTATATGTATATACTGTATATATATTAGAGCTGTCAAACGATTAAAATATTTATTCAAATTAAAAAAAGCAACTGTCATAATTAAATTAACTCATTTTTTTTATCATTCTGAATTTCCTTTTATATTCTTTTGTCCTATTTTTTCCCGTTTTAATGCTCTCATCAACATGGAATCATGGATCAGTTTTCTACGTGCAAAATGCTAATATTTACTGAAACAACAATTTCGATTTTCAATTTTACATGAGCATTTTTCACTTGGAGCAGTTATTCACACATAATCTCACACAATATTACTGTCTATCAACAACAGTGAAAAAAATTTTTTTGCCACACAACAGCTCCTTTAACAGCTCTTTTTAGGGAATCAATACAGTGCAAGATAAAATTATAAAGTGCACATCTAAGGTAAACTAGTACTCAGCCTGTAGTGGGTTTAAGCCATGGTTGCATACTTCGTTTTTCTCAAATTTGCTTTGAACATAGCAGTCAAGCTATGTTGATTCTGTTGGTCCTTCTTGCGCGGAAGTCTCTCGATGGTTTTGTGTAGACATTATTTTGGATGACTACACTTTGTTCGAGGCACGCACAACACTGGAGACGTTTTCTTTTCAGTGTGGTCGCTAGGTCGCTACGACTGCACTGCTGAACTCTCGACGTGCCTCAGCGCACCGTCACTGTCAGACGAACACAGAGAAGCTCCACCCCCATTATTTATATGGACACGGAACATGGTAACCTTCCACACAAAATAGTTCCAAACAAGTAACAATCGCGTCAGTGGCATACATCATACTCAACAGGCTACCTGCTCTTTTATCACCAGAGGCTCATCAATCTAGTCTCCTATTTCTCCCCCGAAACAGTGTCTTCTCCCGCTTGGTGTACCTCAGCCTTCTCCGCTACGAACTATTTCTGTACATAGCTTGTAATGGAGGCTCTCGCTGGCAATCCGTAGTGGAGTCGTTAGATGCAATGCAAATGATTTCAGCTTGAGTCGAGCCGTGGACAATGTTGACAGGATCGCATGCAGTTGCCATACATTTAGCTATGGCTTCAGCAAATTTTTTCTTCGTCGTGTTATCCATTTTCTTCGCTTTGAAATTATCCATCGCTGTCTGTCTTAGACGAGGGGGCGGAGTACTTAAATCAGCTGTGTGCTTGGCCATTAAGTAGTATTTCAGACTCAACGTGCTATGATGATAGCTCAGTTTACGACTGCAAAACATACAGGTAACTTTGGTCTTGTCAGTGGAACCATCTGGCAACTTTTTTAAAGTAAACTTTCCATTCATAAACTCTTTAGGTATCCGTTTTCGGTGTTTCGCGCTGCCGTGGCTGGCAAAACAGACATTGGCGTGGACCTGTGCAGCGCGCTTTTTGTTTTGTTTCCGGTTTATTTACAGAGCAACGTAACATCCGCTGTGACGTGTGCCGCGTTAATCTCGCGAGAAAAAATGTAATGACATTAAAATTCATTTAAATTAATGCCAATAATAACGCGCTAAACTGACAGCTCTAATATATA